CTCTTATTAATCGAAAATTGTGATTGGACAAAAAGTAGCAACGAAAATGAAACAATAAACCTTGCAGCTGAACATTTTACATTGGAATACCTTTCCTGTGTTCATGAATGTATACATGAACAAACTGTAACCATTCGTCCTCGTTAAAAACCATGGTTTGATTCAGTGCTACGTGAAACAATAAGAATTGGAAACCGTCTTCGTAACAAAGCACTATAAACTAAAAATGATTCCGATTGGTCCGCATATAGAAAGGTCCGAAATTTAGTCAACAATATGAAAAAGAATACGATATCAAATTATTACGACAAAATAGAACCTACTTGGAAGATTCAAGTAATATAACAATAAGTTATATTGGAAGTTTCACTTATATCAATTGTTTTATTTTTCTTAATTTGCATGACATACTGTATTGTAATATATAAGGAGAGGGACTAGTAAGTTATAAGAACTTGTTTCTATCCTTGTGATATATTCAATAAAATATGTTCAAAACAGTGCTTTGTGAACAGTTAACGCGAGCGGATGGTAAACGCTGAACACAAAACTGTGAATATTAAGCGCATGATGATCTCATGGTGAGCGGACGTTGAACACAAGGTGAATGAATAGTGGGCTAACGGAAAAATGGGAAAATAAAACGTTTCCTAATACATCTATTATATGTGTTTAGATGACAGTGTGTGTCAGACGTGCTCAGTTGATCGTGTGTATCAACAGTGATAAGTTGACTGTGTGTGTGCTAAATGTGCTTAGTTGACTGTGTGTATTATACGTGTTTAAAAGACAGTGTGTGTCAGACGTGCTTAGTTGATCGTGTGTATCAGTAGTGTTCAGTTGACTGTGTGTATGCTAAATGTGCTCAGTTGACTGTGTGTATTATACGTGTTTAGATAACAGTGTGTGTCAGACGTGCTCAGTCGACTGTGTACGCTAGAAGTGTTCATGTGAAAGTGTTCAATTGGTTGTGTATTAATAAACTGTACATATTAGGTCTGATATTATGTTTATTGGTGTTGTAACGGTATGCAGTGCTAATTTAAAAAAATGGCCCCTAAAAAATTGAAGTTCAAAATGGATAGGAAAATCTTACCAAATTGTATTTAAATTTATCAGACCTATGCTTGAATGTGCTTCAGTTGTTCGGGATGGCTACTCTAAACCTTGAAAAAGTACAACTTTCCACCGCTAGAATTGTAACAGGACTACCTATTTTTGTGTCTAGAGAAGCACTTTATTCTGAAAATAGTTGGGAAACTTTAAAAATTACTACTATATTTCAAAATTCACAGGGGAAGAGTACCTGAATATTTGCATAATAGTGTTCCCAAAAAGCGTGATAATGTATCCATATACAATACTCGTGACAAACCAGATTATTTAATTCCAAGATGTAGATTAGAATTATTTAGAAATTCCGTCGTACCTAGTGTTGCAAAACAATGGTATTTATTAAAAACAGAGGTCAGAAAAGCCATTTCAACATACATTTCGAGAAAAAAACTTGATAACAAAAAATTAAAAATCCACCATCTTACTTTTTTTTCGGTAAAGCGAGATACCAATATCATTCATACTAAGCTACGACATTACTGTATACTAAACTATGATCCATATAAAGGAAATTATTAAGAGTCCTTTATGCTCAAAAACATGAAGATGTGTAACATTTCTTTTTTGCATACAAAAATTGTTCTAATGCAAGAAGTAATCTTTTCAATCGCTTGTTCATGCTTTAATTGGTCACTATTGATATAAATCTATTATTAATGATGTTAATTTGCCTTTACAGATAAATAGCAGTATATTTGCTGCTGTTAACGTTCATATATTTATTGACGAAACATATAGATTCTCTAGTTGATATGTTATTTAGTAGCATTTTCACTTGTATCAATTGTATTATTTTCCTTTAATTTGCATGAAATATTGTAATATATAAGGAAAAGAACTAGTTAATTATAAGAACTTGTTTCCTATCCTTTTGATGTACTCAATAAAATATATATTCAAAACAATGCTTTGTGAACAGTTAACGCGAGCGGTTGGTGAACGCTGAACGCAAAACTGTGAACAATGAGCGCATTATGAGCTCATGGTGAACAGACGTTGAACGCACGATGATGAAAGGTGGCAAGCGGAAAAATTGGAAAGTAGAATGTTCCTAATATATCTGTATACTTAAAATATTTCAAAATATGTTTATTTACATTTCTTGGCTGTGCTAAAATTCAGAAAAAAATAAATTAATGGACTTTTTCAAAGTAAATTCTCAAAAAAGATTCATTTCTTTTGATATCATTGTGCTTCAATTGACAAAATTAAACGTTTTCCACTGTACAGTGGCTGCAACGTTATTGTTGACAAACCAATCGTGTAGAATCGTTCGTGTAACGTGCGTGATCGTTCGTGTAACGTGCGAGATCGTGCGTGTATCAGACTCAATCGTTTGCGGTTTTAATCGTGCGTGATCGTGCGTTAAGAAACGTGTAAATTTCGTTTTGTAAGTTTTTATCGGAATGTTATTTGTTATACAAGCATTTCTCTTGTCTGTTTTTTTTTTCAATCCAAATAAAATAAATGAAGAGTGATTGACATAATTAAAAGCAGTACGAACTAATTATCGCTTGGAAATAAGCAATATAGTAAGTCGTACAATATTGTGTTCTCGTCAAATAGCGTAATTTTTTTTGTGATAAACCGTACTTAGATGATTAAGGATTTTTTTTTCTATGATGTTAATTATGTTTACTGCTAATTATGGTCAAGAAATTTTTAAAATCAATAGATCAAAAATAGATAATTTTACAAATAAATAAATAAACAACTCTCAATGCTGACATAAATATTTAGTCGGCGAATGTACATGTACATTTATACGACATGATTGTCGGGATTTCGTTTCTCAGTGTTTATCTCTGGAGCTTAATTTTAATTATTTTTATAATTTCTGCAAATAAATGTTTTGTAAAATAATTGTTGATTTAAGAGATTCGCAATTGGAAACATGGATATTACATAATTTAATTCATTTTCATGTCATTTTTTCAAACTTATCTCTTTCTGCATATTATGAAATCCAATTCAATCAAAACTCACGATCCACCTACATGTACATCTGATAGAAAAAAAAATCAGTTTTCTTAAGTCGGAGAATTACTTAAATAATTATTTGTTATTTGTAATCTAGAATAATTAATAAGCCTTACATGAATTTGGTTCCAGAAATATCCATTTCTATTTTTTTTTTTTTCATTTTTCAAAGTCGATGAATTAATATCAATAATTATTTGCAAACTAAAATAAGTATTCAGCCTTATTTCGTTTTGAAAATATCCATTCCTAAAGAATTTGAACTATTTTGCGTGAAGAATCGTGCGTTTGCGTTAGCAATCGTGTAAGATCGTGTAACGTGTAGAATCGTGTGCGTGAAGGATCGTTCGTGTAACAGATTTTATCGTGCGTTAATCGTGCGGAATCGTTCGTGTAACGTGATCGTTCGTGTAAGTTGTCAACAATAACGTTGCAGCCACTGTAAGTGTTCTCACCATGAGAAACCAATATACATGAGTGGGCACTTTTTTGTACGATTCGGTTGATCGGTGATCATGAATTCCAGGATGTGTTAAATCTTTTCCATAAAGAATATGTATACCTGACTATGTTTACGAGGTAGATCGACGTTATATTTCTATCTTGTTAAATTGTTTTATCTGGAGATGGTTTGTTTGTTTGTATGTTGTTTAACGTCTCTCTCGAGATTTTTTTCACTCATATGGAGACGCCACCACTTGCCGGTGGAGAGCTGCAAATTTTGTCCTGTACTTGACACTTACGGTCATTGAGCAGTGAGGGATCTTTTTGTGCCAGGACCTACTGCGATACGGGACCTCGGTTTATACGGTCTCATCCGAAGATCCGGTCTCCACGTCCCACAGTGGGATTAGAACCCGCGACGTAAGGATCAACTCCTTACTTCGCGACTCTAGAGCAGACGCTCTAACCACTGCGCCGGCGACTCTGGAGATGGTATTATTAATAGTATACTTAAGATATTTTTAATTAGTTGACCGCGTGTATCAGATATGGTTATTTGATTGTGTGTGTCACATGTGGTTAGTTGACTGTGTGTTGGAGGTGCACAGCTAACCATGCATATCTTTAAGAAGTGATTAGTTGGCTGTGTGTGTTGAACGTGCTTAGTTGACTGTGTGTATTATATGTGTTTAGATGACAGTGTGTGTCAGACGTGCTCAGTTGATCGTGTGTATCAGTGGTGATAAGTTGACTGTGTGTGTGCTAAATGTGCTTAGTTGGCTGTGTGTATTATACGTGTTTAGATAACAGTGTGTGTCAGACGTGCTCAGTTGACTGTGTGCTTTAGAAGTGTTCAGTTGATAGTGTGTAAATGAAAGTGTTCAATTGGTTGTGTATCAGTTAAGTGTTCATTTGGTAAGTGAAAAATCAAGGAATGAAATAAACCTTTTTCGATACATATTAGGTCTGATTCTGTGTTTAGTTGTTATTTTTAGTCAAACAGATAACATTTCTTCCCTCTAACTCCCTTTTACAAGAAGTGTCCATTTGCATGTGGGAAGTTAAGGTGTTCAGTCGGCACGTCATACACGTAGGTGTGTGTGTGTGTGTGTGTGAGAGGGTGTGTGTGTATATATATATATATATATATATATATATATATATATATATATATATATATATATATATATATATATATATATATATATATTAAAATTAAATCCTAGATAAACAAACAAGTTCATATTCAATTATTAGACTAAGCGCTTTAGTGTAATAATTAAATGTGAACTTGTTTGTTTATCTTGGATTTAATTTTAATTTATAACCTACCTATACCGTGGACTTTTACTACAATTTCACTATATATATATCTATATCTATATCTATCTCTCTCTCTCTCTCCCTCTCTCTCTCTCTCTCTCTCTATATATATATATATATTGTAATATTTCTTTCAGGGATTTTTCGTTGCCATGGTGTTCTGTTTCCTAAACGGAGAGGTAGGTAGGAGGTCAGTTATCTCTACATAAAGTTGACTGATAACTTCCACATGACTATAGATCAAAAGCACCTTTAATTTAAGACAGGTTTAACCTTCAGGCAGATTGAGAAGGGTATGGGGTAAATGACTACCCAATTTCGGATAATAGCATGGTAAAATAGTCAGTTATAAACGAGAATTTCATCTACTTTTCCCCTTCTTTTTCTTTTATTGATATACAGTAGTTTCCAGGGGAAATTTTAGTTGTTGTTACTTCCCCTTTTCATTTCTTGGTTTGGAACTGTATTCCATCCATTCCCAAAAAAAAATCCACGATCTTCTAAGATTCTTTTACATGAAGCTCAGAATTCCTCAAGTTGTAAAAAAAGAAGTGATATTATACAATAATGCATTCACATATCACGTACCACATATATCAATATTTCTCAAGATTTATATGTTCTTTGTATAAATTTACATCATTTGGATAAATTTAGAAAGAAAATGATAGGTTGAATGACCAAGACAATTTTTTTTAATTTGCTAAAAGGACACTACATGTAATATCTTTTCATTTCATTATTAGGTTATTTCAAACATAAAGAGAAGCGTAAGGCACTATCGAAGCAGGTCGTTCTCTGCTTCTAAACGACTCAACCAGACCACGCAACAAACTCTTTCAATAAGGTCTGAATATGACGCCACAAAAACTGGCGACCAGTGTTACAAATCCTTGATCGTGCCTACAGAGGACAAGGAAGAACTAGAACTGAAAGAGACCTCTACAAACGGCAATATCCATGGAAACACCTAACACTGGAGATATGAAATTATCCTTGGAATTGAATCATATTACGTATGTGTGTGAATGGTTGAATACGAGAACCAAGCGACTGTTGACATGCAGTGGATTTACTGAATACTAGCATTTAAAACAACTGTCTGATATATGTAATTAGAATAATATACATGTGATGAAGAAACTAACGAAAGCGACCCGGTGAGATATACACAGTACTTAACATGTACATTGTTGCATGTTTATGAAATTGTTGAAATAATGGGGTATCAGTGAGAAGTTAGTGTCTTAAAGGGATGAGGCAGCAGGCTGGGCTTACATCATCTTTCTCCTCGAAAGCTTTAATAATGCACTGAGTCTAATAAACCGAGCTGAAATTCTCTTCTGTGAAACAGCGTTGAAAGTTCATAATAATTTGTATGTATGACAAAGATGATATACTAACTTGCCTTTTTTCTCTCTTGAACTGAAAAAAAAACATAAACTGTGCATTATTCACACAGACCTTTTTTTTTCTTTGCTTCAGGTGTAGTATTGTTATCAGAAAAAAAACATCATAAATTCAATTCAGCACCATGCAGACTCGGTTGTAAATAACTATAAATTCCAACCAAACTGGCAATTTATAGAACTTTTGGGCTAAAAAAAATTCTTTTTTCAAGAGAATTTTTTTTCAAGACTAGCTGACAGCTTTGAATCTCGACAAATGGATTTATTTTAAAATACAGACTGAAACACACGCTAGATAAGAGCTACATGTACCGCTGAAAACTAAACGGTTAAAACAAAGATCCACTTAAATATACCATTCATTGGTCAGGGTCCCGCTTTGTGGGTGCCCTATAGTGATACGTCTGTCAGTCCGATATAACCTTTTCTCCCCTCTTGGTCCAGTATGACTCAAAACTTATGATAGACTGATAGAATACCCATTGGCATAGGGAGTATAGTAACCATGAAACAATTCTGTACATCAAAACTGGGGGGAAATATGTGTATTTTTTTCTCTCCTTAGCTCAAACTTTACAGATAGAGTGCCCGTGAGAAAAGAGTATGCAGTGATCTTGTACTTTTTTTTAGATCAAAGGTTAAGGTAAAAAACATGTGTGCTCTAGACAAAGATTTTACACAGAGGTGTAAAATCTTTGTCTTGAACATAGTTACATGTTTTTTCACTCCCTTTGACCCTATCTGGCTTATACAGGTGTTGTATAGTAGGATTTCCTAAATAGGCAGCTTTCCCCCCGGAATCTGTACTCTATAGTAGGATCCCCCCAAGGGGAAATCTTACAATAGAGCCAAATTTCCCCCTCATTCTTTCTCAGAGTAGGATTTCCCCTCTTTTACCAATATATCGACAATTGTGGCAAAAAATTTATATGAAAGTCATTTTTAGTGAATTTACGATTTTCTACTCAAGAATTGTTGAATTTAGTATGAATCTTAAAATATATAGTTCAAATCATCGAGTCTCAACCCAAAATTTTAATTCATAGGAAATTATAAATCAGTCGCTTAAAAAATCGTAAGACTCGATGTCTCAACACCCACTCTCGGCGCAGCAGTACGTGTTTGCTCACGGATTTTAAAATTATATCAGGATACTTTTTGTGATTTGATAATTTGCTTGTCCTCTAAAGGCCTAGAAGTTCATGTATGGACCAGTCATTTCTACAAAGAGTGTGTAAGAAGATTCAAAAATGTATGTTATTGATGGGTTCCACATGTAATTCTGTGGGTAATTGAATCGAGTAGTTCTTCAAAGGAGAAAAAAAGCCAAAACCAGAAACGCAACAATGCAAGAAACACTGCTTTTGCAAGCCAAAGCATAAGTATATCATCTCGATCCCAGCGACGTAGTCGATTTGAGAGCAGAGAGCATATACTCTCTAAAAGTTTTGCAAAATTTAAATTTTTTTGACCCAGTTTTAGTTCCATTCTTATGACAATAGTTAAACATCAGAATTTAGAGAGACACTTACATGTATTTACTTATAGTTTGAAATACAATTGGAGAAAAAAATCCATTTAAAATAAAAGTTCTTTTCTGTTTCTATGGATACAGTTAAAATTTGTCCAAGCGATTACATACTATTAATTTTTTCAGAAACCATTTTGACAGGGTGAAAGGAATAAGATTTGATTGCTTCAAAAAAATTAGACAGTTACTGAGAAAAATGAGATTTCAAATTTTTATTATATTTCATACTCCGCATGTTTCAATAGAACTGGTCGACATTTTGAAGAAGAGATACTTGTAACAATATGTTCCCCCTCATACATAAGTACAACCATGATATTTCATGGGGGGGGATTGACTCTGGAGGAAATGGCACAGAGAAGGATCCCCCCCGGAAAATTGAATCTGGTATGGGATTTCCGTAGGGGAAATCCTACTTTAAAGTCATCTTTCCGTGGGAGCAATCCTACTCTAGAGCCTACTGAGTATTTTCCGGGAGGAAATCCTACTCCAGAACCAGTTTTCCAGGGGAAAGATTTTTAAGGAGAAAGCCTACTTTACAAGGTACTTCACCCAAAGAGTGCAAGTTGCTTAAGGATTTGTAGTTACCTTGAAGTAAGTTTGTAGGTCAGAGGTCAAGGTCAGTAGACCTCTTTGTGATACCATTGATATTTACACATTTTCTTTCCTCTTGACAGAATTCAAGATTAAAGTAGACCATTGTCGGAGGCATGCATTTTCCGTCCTTGTACCATTGCGGCTTATACCTAACTCAAAAATGTATACAGTATTCAAACAACGTGAAAGGTCAAGATTTCTGTGAACTCTCTGTAGGGGATAAATATACCCCCTACTATGATGTGAAAATGTCTCCAGGATTCTGGTGTTTAAATATGTAAAATAGCTGCCGTTTCCTTGGAACTGAAAATGGGTCATTTATTTCTTTAAAAAATGAAATTTTGCAAAAAATTAAGAGAGTATTTGCTCCATATTACACGGCTGGGGTGGAGAAGACATATGCTTCGGCTTGCAAAAGGAGTGTTTTTTGATTTTTATTTTTTTTTTGTTTTTTGTTTTTTTTTTGTTTTGTTTTTTTTGTTTTTTGTTTTTTGTTTTTTTTTTGTTCTTGGCTTTTTAAAAAAATTTCCCCTTTAAAGAAGTATTTGATTCAAATACTCACAAAAACTATAAATTTAAGAATTTTCTAACATTTATAATAGTAAAAAGGATTGATCCATAGATAAAATACAGGGCCTTTAGAGGGTAAACAGATGAAATCACTAAAAGTGGCCTGATATACATTCAAACAGTACCGCTGCGCCGAGAGAAGGTGTTGAGACAAGAATCTTTGGGTGACTTACATTGTACACAGTTTCCTATGAGTCAAAATTCTGGATTGAGACTCGATGATTTGAACTATACATTTTAATATTTCATACTAAATTCGACAATTCTGGAATCGAAAACATTTCATATTTTCATTAAAAATTAATCAGGTGACTTTTATATAAACTTTTAGCCAAAATATTTTCGATATTATTTAAGCATTGATAAAAGAGGGGAAAATCCTACTCTGAAAAAAAAAGAAAGAGGGGGAAATCGGGCTCTAGAGTGAGATTTTCCCTTGGGTGAGATCCTACTCTAGAGTACACAGGGGGGGGGGGCTGGGGGCTATAATGGGAGGGGGGGGGGAGCTGGCTATGGTGGGAAATCCTACTCTTTACAACACTGACAGCTGTGTTTGGAAATTAAATGAAACGTCTTTCATACAAAATTATACACTGTAGTAATAAACTTTAAGGTACTCCGATCCTCAGGTTTTGAAAATCAGCTTTTAAGTAATTGAAAATGCTCACAAAAATGTCTCTGATTTCACATAGTAACATGAATTTAGTCATGGAATTTCTTCAAAGTTCATCATTATAGTTAATCATATTATGTAGGAAAAATTATCAAATCTCAAATATATTTTCAGGAAATGCGAATAAAAAGACCAGCTATGCATTTTCTAATTGAAAATTGATCAACAAATATAATTTAGGATAAAAAGATATAGGTATCCAGGCATTTGGAGAAAACTGCATCATTTTTATGCTTATACAGTATTTTAGTTCTTCTTTTTACTTAAATTTTCATATAATACATAGTGTAAAAAGCTTGTGCTATCATTGCTAGGCATCACATATCACATCTAATTTCATATCATGCTAATAAGCTGTGGTATCTATTGCTAGACTACAGGAAATTCGATTTCTCTGAAAATGAATTCATTTTTTTGTTTTACGGGGTAGAAATGTCAACTTTTTTATAAGACCGTTTCTAAGACTTCAAAGAATCTTGAATCATATTAAGATGCATAAAATAAAAAATTGTTGCACGAAAAGATCTCAATTCCAAGCTTCATTTTGAGACTTTTCAAATAAAATAATAAATTTTAGAGTTATCCTTCCTAGCTGAGGATCGGATATCCTTAAGCTTTATGACCTCTAAGACGTTTATGTACCATATAGTTATTAGTTTGACACTTTGATTTTCTATTCTGTTAATTTTGACACTTTAATTTGCTATAGTGATAATACCACACTATACAATAAAGATCACTATGACACTAAAGTGTTATCTGTGAAAACGTCGATGTTGAACCAACAGCTATTATATATGTAAGATCCATTTTGCTGACTGAAAAATATCATTTATAGAGATATTTTCTTACAATATCTGTGTACATTTAAAAAATTGATTACGGTACATGTAAAAATTTAATTTCATAATATCAGTGAACGAAAAATGTTGACATTTTGGGGGGGGGGGGGGGGACAGCCCCGAATAGTACATATTAGCGAATCACCAGGCTTGAGTGAAATGGATGCATCAAATTTTATCTCCACTAAATAACATATATAGGTTCAGGGTAAGCATGGTTTTGCAATATCCATGATTGCTTTAAACGTGGTTTACTGTATACATATCCATAGAATGGCAGTCGACTGATTGATACCGCTCACTCATACTGTAGATTGGCAAATAATCATGATAGTTTTAATTTCACTATGTTCGCGATTTATCATTTTGAAGCGAAATTTAACCCATCGTGAATGCTATTATTAGTATTTAAAAACTTTTAAATGCTTATACGAAATTTGAATTAATTTCTTGCAGCGTGAAATTAAAATCATCGCGATTAGCACTTTTTGAGAATTCATGAAATTTTAACACCGTGGAATTAAAACGACTTAGGATTTACAATTATTGAGTTGAGAAAAAAGTAACGGGTAGTAATGTCAGGCTAAAAAAGAAATAAGTACGCTATACATAATCAACAAGGACGATATATTTAAGGTACAAAGACTGCTCAGTCCACAGCTTCTGGGACCTTCCGAGTCCTCTATGTCTAAAATTTCATTTTGGGACACTGGTTGAATGCCCTCGTCTAGTGTTATAGCTCGGCAATCGTAACTGTGTTTTACTATGCTAGTGTCTTTTAACTCCGGGCACACATCCTTCACGTTCCAGAGACATCTGTTGTTTCTTATAGAACTAAGATTGGCGGCCATTTCGGTGTTGCATGTGAGATTGTTATTTGTAAAAACCAGACCTGGTTGAAGTATATTGAACCCACAAAGCGTGGACTTGAATGTATTGCCTGTGATTACCAAGGACGAGACTGATTTGTGATTGACGATAGGCTGACTCTCCGTCAACTGAATATAAGAGTTGGTTAGTTGTAGGACGTTGACATCTTCCAGCTCGGCAAAAGAGGCGTAACTCATATTCTGCACTGTCAGGTTGTCCATTTTGAACAGTCCGATCCCTTGAACTCCGTGAAAGGCCAACTTTGAAATTTCTTCGATACGAACATTGATGAATTCAATTTTTTGTATAGACTTCAGGTCAGAAAATGCATTTTGGACGATTTCTTTTACACTGGAATCCTGGACTAATATTTGACTTAGGTTAGAAACAGTCGAAAATGAGCAAGCGTGCATGTATTTGATAGCTGATGAATTAATGATGATTGTTTTCAAACCGGGAGCAACTCTGGTCAAAGTATGTAGGAATCCACCCTGTATATTAGTTATTGTTGAATGTGCCAGACGAAGTTCTACCATGCTGGGTGGAAAGCTTTTTGGAGTTATGTAGGTCTGATTAAAGCAAGTGATTACGTCTCTATCCGCCGTACATTTTGTCGGGAGAAACCCAGCAGTGTTTTGAATTAGGTTAAATACCATGAGAATGGCAATCTGTCTCTCCTACAAAAGCCTACAAAAAATTTCTTGAAACACAGCAGCACAGCAAAAGTTAATAATAGTACACAGCTCTTGCTTTGGTCAAAGTTTATTAAAAGACTTCTACATTTGTTGCCTAACAATCACATGCAATTGATAAAATACAAGTGAAACTTACAAGAGAAAATAATGTGATTTAGCTTGTCTCAGATAGAGTAAAAGTCTTAATTACCTACCATAGTCATAAAAAGAAAGTTGTTTACATCTCAAAGCTTCTTTTCAAAATGCGTCTTGCGGTGTAATATATCAAGCGCCTAAAATAGACAGTTTCCGTTTGAACAAAGTTAGAGTGGAGGTTTCCGTTTCTTCATTATTACACATCGCAATTACTATGCACAAAACACTTTATATAGTTTAACCATCCTTAAGTCGTACTTTATGTCCTCGTTCTTAGCTGTAAGAGTGTACCGGGGCCAGAGTGCTCTGTCTATTGTATGCTTAGTTTTAATCCCCCCTCCCCACCAAAAACAACGTTTGGTTGGTATATATAGAAATCAGCCTGTTGTCTCTCTGTCTGTCCGTCTGCCTGTCAATCCGGCCACATCTTTGTAATTAAAAACACTTTATTGAAGTTCATCCTTACACAATAAAATGTATTTGACCTGAGGATGTGCCATGACCTTGACCCAAAATTACTTATGGTGTGTCATGACCTTGACGAGAAGAATTTTGGTCAAGTGCAAGGTCACTTTCCTATAAAAGGTTAATCTTCTCTTCTGGTAATATCCTGTTAGGGAGGAAAAAGGAAGATCATATTCAAAATAAAGATTACTTATGACCTGAAGTGTGACATCTTGACCCAAGGTCATTTGAACAATTTCTAGGTTACTGGCAGAACAATTTATAATTCATTCCCGGTCCATGATTCTCTATTGGAAACATATTGGAATTTGATACTTTAAATGAGAGTACTCGTGCAGTAAGGATGTGTATTTCATAACTTTGACTTTGGGTCATTATGGCAAATGCATGCTTGTAATAAAGAAATATTTGAAACTCATTATGGACATTCATTTTTTATTCTTTCTGAGGCTCTGTTTTGAAATTGACCCAAGGTCATTTAGGCAAGTTCACGGTCACTTGCAGAAAAGAATCCTTCTCTAGTCCATAGCTTTGTAAAAAAGAAATATTGGATGCAGTACTTTAAAGATGCAGTGGAGATATAATTTTCTGAGCATGAAAAAGATCCCTCACTGATCAAAGGCCGTTGAGTGCCGAGTACAGTTCTAAATTCGCAGCTCTCCACCGGAAAGTGGTGGCCTCTAAATATGAGTGAAAAATTCTCGAAGGGACTTAAACAACAAACAAATAAACAAACCTCACTGTCTTGGATATCTTTAGCTGCGCTTCTGAGTACGTAAAAAAAAAGAAATTTACAGCTAAATCGACAACTCTTCGCAGCTATCATCCAGTGCCTTAATGGAAAATGTTGGGCCTCGAACTCGGAATCACGACTGGTCGTTTTGTACATATTGTAGTCGTCGTGTACCTACCCTCACAGCATATATTGTCGCCCATCTGATTGGTACATAATGTCGCCGGCTAAAATTAGTTACTCATGTACATATTGTCACTGGCGACACACCGTTCACGGTAGCTCAGTTGGTAGAGCGCTCGCTCCGTGATCGGGAGGTCGTGAGTTCGAATCTCGGCCGCAACAGACCTAAGTCGATAAAAAATAGGTAGCAACTGTTCCTTCGCCATGTGCTCGGCACTTTGAAGTGAAAGTTGCGGGTCCTTCGGATGAGACCTTAAAAACCGAGGCCCCGTGTCACGGCAGGCGTTGGTACGATAAAGATCCCTCACTGCTCAATGGCCCTGAGTGCCGAGTAAAGGTCAAAATTTGAAGTCCATCAACGGTATAAAGTGACGTCTCTATATGAGTGAAAAATTCTCGAATGGGACGTAAAACAACATACAATCAATCATACAATCACTGGCGACATTATGTGCCTTACCCTCACTGAACATATTGTCGCCCCACAGATATTGTTGCTTAAAGATTTCTTTTGTTGTTTTTTGGTAGTTTTGTGAATGTAATTGGTGTGTAAATCACACAGACGTGTCTATATGCTATTTCATGCAGCGTGATTGTGACGATACTTGTTGTCGTCCTGTTCATATTGTCACCGGCGATAAACTTTTTATGATGTTCTAAATTTTACTTTTTGAAATCATCCTTATAAATCTATGCAACTTTTTATCACTTTAAAGGACATTATTGTGAAATTTTGAATTGAAAATAAAGATATATGTGGTTAAACTTATTCATTTTACTTAAATAAGCGTGATTGTAGTTGTTATTTTCATGATTGGTGAAAAAAAATTTTTTGTATCTCATTTTTTCTTAAGGGACCTACATGTATTAACATTTTACATTACATTATCGTATAATTTGTGTTTAAACATGCATAAGCTAAGATTGAATGACAAACTTTTGTTTAAAAATAATCACTGCTAGAGTTCATGTAGGCAACCAGACTGTCAAATGCGGTATGACTCTTTACATGATCTTGTTTCAGTGTTCGGGGATATTCGGAAAGAGACGTACATGATTTTTTAATGGCCTTTGACTTTAAACTGAACCAGTTTCGTACAGCTTTTAGCATTTTTATGACGCAAAACTGTACATGCAGTTAATTTGCAGTGAATGTTCTATTTTAGCAGATTGATTTCTCTTTAAGACAATGAACGTAGAGGTAAAATGCAGTTTAAGTAGGTAAGTAACTAATTCAAGTACAGGTAAGTAACTAATTCAAGTACAGGTAAGTAACTAATTCAAGTACAGGTAAGTAACTAATTTCAGTAAAAGTAACTAATTTAAGTACAGGTAAGTAACTAATTTAAGTACGGTAAGTAACCAATTTAAGTAGCTAGCTTTTAATCAGCTCAGTATAGGTTTGTAGAAAAAAAGAGGAATTTTTATATCAGCTGGTAATTTTAAATCAGATGCTACATGTAGTTCAAAATTTGGTGTCCCACATTTTTTACATAACACTACATGGATACATAATACTACATGGACAGATTGTAGCCGCCACATATGAACAGCTGAATGTAAATGTATAATACCAGATGCAGATTCGACATTCTGCATTTTGGAAACAAATGCGGCTTCAGTTTAAACTAATAATTCATAGATAGGGTGGTTATCCTTTTATACATATACAAATATCATCTGACAAAAGTTAAACTTTGTTTGACTTCATCATGCATGACAAGAGACCGACGGTCATTTTGACAGGACTTTAACTGAACTGATAACACTCCCAGTTATCAAGCTAAAACTCCATCAATATGTCGACAGGTAAGGTCAAACCTTTAATAGATTTTTAATATTGATATGTGGTAGCCAACAGTAAGATAATAGTGTACCATAAACTTGAAACTGAGATAATCCAATGATGTATTTATTAGTTTTCCTTAGTTACAATGTATCATTTTGTAACATGTATTGTTCTTTATTTCAATGTAGATTGCAACCATGTCATAGATAAGCAGTACAACATTAGCTGATAACGACTTATGGGAGATTGTTATTTATTGAAAATACACTTAAATTAAAACTGATCATGAAAAGCAGAAAAACAACAGTTTTAACAATTGATCGTACACACACACATACTGTAAATGTGTCTAATTATATGTCCTCTTTAGTAAAACTCTTGGCTTCATTGCTGAGTATAGGGTAGGAAATACATGTTTTTTACTATTGGGAACGATTGGATAGAAACTAAAGGGTTTGAAACAAGTTAATTGTTAATCAGACCACACTATAAAGAATAATATGCCTCTTCTAGCCTCTGCCATCCAGCAATAGAAGAAAAAGAAGCCGTCTGCAATTTAGAAATTCTTAGAGTGCTTTCACTGATAACTTTCCGTCTTCGTGACTCACTGCTGGCAACCATTTTCTAACAAAGGTTCCGCTAAAAGCATTTTTTTTGTTTTAGAAACAGTTATAAGAGCGACCAAATTTTGTTAATATTTCAATGTAATGATTCCCAAGTATTTTGTTTGATATTCTATAGGGAAGTTGTTTGGGTGATGAGATCTATACTGTTTGGATATAGTATATGAAATATGAAGATAATGAATAGTAATCAAACTCAAAGGTTCGAATTCATTGGAAGAACGGACCTCTGAACACATCAGAGGTGGAATCAGGTGCCACGGAGGAGTAAACATCTCCTCGTCACAATCGGTCAATCGGAAAAATCCGTATACAATTCAAGGTGAGAAGAATGACTTAACAATTTGTGAAAAACGTCAGTCATCTTTCGACTTAAGGATAGATTGTATTTGCTAGCAAGGCCATTGTATCAACCATAGAATTTGTGAAACGATGACTTTAAACGAGACTTCTGATATCCTTGTATAATTGTAACAGGCAGGGAAAAATGTCGGCCAGACTGGGACTCGAACCCGGGACTTCCCGCTAACCTTGCAGGTGCTCTAACCGCTGAGCTACCGGGCCGACGTACCCAATCCCCGTTACTCTCTCCCCCCCCTTTTTTTCTTGGTTTTCCATCCTGAAAACCTCACCGAGACTCCTCTAAACCACCCGTGGGTTTTACTGTTGGGCGCCAAATTTAACAGGCGGGGAAATATGTCGGTCAGACTGGGACTCGAACCCGGTACCTCCCTCCGGGTGCTCTAACCACTAAGCTACCAGGCCGACGTACCCAATGCCCGTTAAATAATCAACTTATTTGTTACTAGCTTGCCTCGCTTTAGAAATTCTTCGTACAAGATGCTCTTGCGTATCGACTCAACTGGGAGACATTGCTCCATATGCAGGTGATAATGGTATATTGCAACATATGGAAAGTTGAAGATAGAAAATTGAAGTCATCACTTTTATCATAAATTTTGTGATTTCAAATTTCTTAAAGTTCCTTGGAGTTTGTAAGTATCCACATCTGATTGACATCACTTCTGGAATATGTTGTTGTACAGAACTCATACACTTCTCCTTCACTACAGTTTATATTTTCTTGAGGAGTGAAGGAAGAGGCGTGATAAAACATATAATAGAATCCAGTATGTATCTTTGTAAGGAATTTTATGTAGTGTAGGAATCCAGTATAGATAGGGAGGTAGTTTGTTTCTTGAGATTTGTTTGGAGATTGTGTCGGGAATTTGGTCTGGTGATAAGAATTATGTTGTTTGGATGTTGTGTAGGGAAGATTTTATGTGCTGCTGAGATTTGTATGTTTGGATATTGTTGGGGAAGTAGTTTGGATGATGAATTGTATGTTGTTCGGATATTTCAGGGAAGAATTTTGAGTGATGATATTTATTCCTTGGATATTGTGTAGGCAAGTAATATGCTTGAAGTAGATAGTGCTTTAACGTACTAGTAGTTAAATCTTCTGCAAATGATGAGCTTAATTGTTGAATCGTGTCTTTAAATGCATGAATATGCTTATGGTGTAAGTTAACATAAGTTGTATTTATAAAAAAAAAACACATGATTTTAAAAGATATAATCCAATTCAAACGAAGTTTAATAACACAAAGATGCAGTTTCACCCTTACAGAGAGTAAGTCACCCAAAAGATTATTGCTTAATATAGTGGGATGTACATTTTTGTACAAAAGAAATTGACAATTCAGGTTTACTGTAAGTCCTGTTCTACAATTTGTTATCATACCCCCTTTTAGAATTCGATTTTCAATGCAAAGAAGGGGAATATGGTGTAACAGAGAAACAAGTGTCCGCGTTTCGAGAGACAGGATGTCTTATTCAAAGGTAACTGCATATATATATATATATATATATATATATATATATATATATATATATATATATATATATATATATATATATATATATATATATAAATCACAACACCGAAATAAACTCTACCGGTTTCATTTTCAATCTTCAAACTCCTGAAGTAAACTCTACCGGTTTCATTTTCAATCTTCAAACTCCTGAAGATTGAAAATGAAACCGGTAGAGTTTATTTCGGTGTTGTGATTTTTTTTGATATACGACTACGTGTGTGGATTTATATTATATATTTCTGGAATATATATATATATATATATATATATATATATATATATATATATATATATATATATATATATATATATATATATATATATTTATGTATGTATGTATTAAATGAAATGAAATTCAATTTAAAAAATAATGATAGATATTTGTTTAATGAATTATACACTGGCTGTCACAAAAATGTGTATTCTTTAAAGAGGATTCTAATTTGATTTGTATAGCATCTCATCAAAAATCATGCCTATATATGTTATAGTATGATATTTTATAATTATTGTGTTATTTGGATGTTCAAGGGGATTGTTTGGACAAAAAGAAATCCAAAAGATAGAGCAGATGCTACAAGAGAGCGATCTCATAGAGGAAAACAGCTATGGGGTAAGATCCTTTCTTCTGAAGTAGTTAAAATAAAAATGGAGGAAATATTTAATATTTAAATTTACACTTATTAATTTATCATTACTTCTCTCTCCATCAATCATGTTTAAATTGCAACAAAAAGTTATAGAAAATCGTCTGAACAATAATCCGTCAAAATTTAAATGTACTTAATTGTACTTGATGTAAAAAGAAAAAAATCAAGTAATAGTTCTTTTCTTGTGTAGTCCAAGGCATTGTTATACCATAATATATGGTACAATGAAAAAAAGAATCCCTTACCTATGTATTTCTTAATAGATTTATCACTTTCTAATAGCTCTTTAAAAAGCACCTTACTAATCTAACCCCTAAAGTAGTTTACATGTATAGTCTTTTTCATTTTACGTCCATTAAGGATATCCGATCCTCAGCCAGGAAGGATAACTCTTTAATTTATTATTTAATTCAAAAAGTCTCTAAATGAAGCTTAAATATGAAATCTTTTCATGCAACAATTTTCATTTTATGCATCTCAGTGTGATTCAAGGTTCTTTGAAGTTTTGGAAACAGTCTTTTAAAACGTTGATATTTTAACCCATATTAAAAATACCGATTTAAAGAAATCGACTTTTCCTTTAATTTAGCCTTAGATACCAATGCTAATTAGCATGATTTGAAATTAGAAATGATTTATGGTGTTTTGCAATGATAGGAAACACTTTATAAATTATGCATTTTAAAATAATTGAAGTACAACGAAGAAACTAAAGTACTGTATAAGTTTAAAAATCATGCAATTTTCTTCAAATGCCTCGATACCTATAATTTTTTTTTATCCTAAAATGTTTTTGTTGATCATTTTCTAATTACAAAATGCATAGTAGGTGTCTATATTCGCATTTCCTGAAATTTTATTTGAGATTTACCAATTTTTCCTATATAATATGATTAACTTTAATGATGAGGTTTAAACAGTTGCTGTGGTAAATTCACATTACTTTGAGAATTCAGGAACACTTTTGTGAGCATTTTCAATTATTCAATGCCTGATTTTCAGAACCTGAGGATCGGACTACCTTATAACTGTAGTATAAGATAATAAAACAATTGTCAAATGTCTAATCAGGCAATAGATCGGAATATATTTCCTTTGGTACTGGGAACAACTCATTGTGTTCTACGAGGGTCTTTCAATAAATAATGCAAAAGATGATCCAAAAATAGGAAAAGCACTTAAAGCAGATTCTTAATACTTTCAATCACTCAAAGCATTCCCTGTTAACATTTACACATGTCTAAAGTTTTTGTACCCATGACCAGAGAACTTCAGCATACTCATCTTTAGGGATGTCCAAAAGACACTGATGAATAGCACTTTCCATGGTATACCTGAAATTGTAAATTCTTCCTTTGATTGCTTTCATGTGTTTTTGGAAGAAAAATATCTCACAGTGGCTGAGATCGAGCGAATATGGGGAATGGCTAAGCTTTGTAAACTTTCCTTTCTTCAAAATTTTATTTATTTCTCTATGCTTATTTGCAGCAGTGTTGTTTGGTACAGATTGATTGATTGATTGTTGTTGTTTTACGTCCCATTTGAGAATTTTTCACTCATATAGAGACATCACCATATACCGGTGAAGGGCTTCAAATTTTGACCTTTACTCGGCACTCAGGGCCATTGAGCAGTGAGGGATCTTTATCGTGCCAACGCCTACCGTGACACGGGGCCTCGGTTTTTAAGGTCTCGTCCGAAGGACCCGCAACTTTCACTTCAAAGTGCATGGCGAAGAAACAGTTGCTACCCATTTTTTATCGACTTAGGTCAGTCGCGGCCGAGATTCGAACTCAAGACCTCCCGATCACGAAGCGAGCGCTCTACCGACTGAGCTACCGTGGTTTGGTACAGAAAAAATACTCTAGGGTTCGGTATTGGACTTGCTTTGCAGGAAATCTGCTTAACTTTCCTGAATGAAATTTTAACATAAAAGTCCTCCCATTGGCTGTATGTACATGTTTTACTGGACCTCTTGAATAAAAAGAAAATTAATAAAACATATTAGGAGCCCTTGCTTCTCTTTGCAATAATAGGACGACAGCTTAATTCCTCTTTGATTCCACACTTTATTCTTAATCTTCCTTTTCGGCTATAAAAAGCACGCACATGTTTCGTCATCTATCACTCAAGTTTATGAAATCTTCCTTTTTTTGTCAAATGTTTATTTTTAAATAGACCATTGGCACATTTGACGTGTGTTTCTCATAGGCAATTGTAATGAAATAATCACCCATCTGATAGAATTATTGTTAGATTCATTTCATTTGTCAGAACTCTGTTGTGACGATGAAATGTTTCGTATCTTATGTCTATCAATGTAAATCTGGCATTTTTAAATATCATGTTGCTCACACCATCCATATTTTGGTGCCCCTACAGATTTCGATCGACCAGTTTTACTGCGATCTTTTAATTGTACTTTTTTACTTTTGAATTTCCGAATCTATCTGAAAACTATACAGCGTGAAAGACTAGTCTTTTCACATATCAAAATCTTTAACACAGGTTCTTCAGCTATTTATGTAATGAAGCACAGTTTTCACATACGCCCTTATTTTCATCTTCTTCGCAGAGACAATTTTCAAACAGTTTTCAACTCAGTGTAGTGACCATGCTTATTTTAAAAGTGAATTCTTTTGCGACAACAATAGGAAAAAGCATGGGGTTTTCTGTGATTTGGAGTTCTTCGATAGAACTTTTCAACTGATAAAAAATAAAAATGATTATTTCAACATTTACTATGATAAACCGTATGTTGTATTACTTATTGAAAGACCCTCGTATTGCCCTCAGCCGATTGCATCTTGTTTTTTACGTCGAATTCCAGAATTTTTCACTCATATAGAGACATCACCAGATACATGCTTCAAATTTAGACCTATACTCGGCACACAGGGCCATTGAGCAGCGAGAGTTCTTTATCATGCCAACACCTACCGTGATACGGGATCTCAGTTTTTAAGATTCCATCTGCATGACCCGTGACTCTGACTTCGAGTGCCGGCCTTGTAGAGCGAATCTCTCCCCCATAGTGAGACTTCCCCCGGAAGAGAGACAGGAGGTCTAATTCAAGAGCCATACCTCCCCTCCAGAACCATACCCCCCCCCCCCCCAAGTATCAAAAGAGAGCTAATCTACCCAAGGGGGATGTCTCACTTTAGAACCTTACTTCCCCTGCCATTGCAAGTTTTGCTCTGGAGTAATACTATTCCCTTGGGCAAGGCCCACTCTAGGACCATGTTTCTCGTTGATGTCTACCTCTAGTAAGAGTGAAGCAGCTCCCCCCGATCAAGGTAAATTTTAAATTTGTCAACTTTTTGGCAAGGAAGATATAAATTTTATTATTTAAGAAATAGTAATTTAATTTTTAAAAAATAGTGTTTATGCTGTCCTTTAACTTTTAATTGGTTAAATATTAGACACATGAGTACGGTATACTTGTCTAAGTCATACGAAATAATGATATGATATCTCATTGCAAGAGTTCAAAGATTTTTTTAAATTCGTCTAGAAACAAATGTGTTTACTTACGCATAGACAGAATAACACGTAGTCGGCGGACGGACAATCAGACCCAAATTAACGTCCTCTACTTTCAGTGAAAGCGGAGGCAATTAATGGGTCGCTGTAAAGGTTTGGTAACTGAATTATCTCTAGAGAGCGATTTTAGTACTACATGTAGTAAAACAAAATTTAATGAAGGGGGAAGACCTGCTATGGGTGAGGTCTCACTATACGACTAGAATAAGTGTAGGTCTTTATGCAGGGAAGTGTGGCTCTAGAGCCGGGGGTCCTCTCGCTCTTAAGTCAGAATTCCCCCAGGGGAGAAGTCTTACTATAGAGCCAGACTTCCGGAGAAAGTCTCACTCTAGAGCCAGACTTCCTGGAGGAAGTCTGACTATGGGGAAAGTCTCACTCTACAACACCCGGGCGCTTGGTGAAGGAATAGTCTCTTCATATGTTTACGTCTTAGTATTGATGAGACACAGCGAATGAGAATCGAATCCGATCCTCCCAACTCGAATCGAACGTCCTACCACTATGTTGCCGTGTCCGGTTTTCAATTAATAAAACACAATCAGTCGTCCCAGCACAGGAAACATATTCCCATCTATTGCCTAATAGTGCATTATATAACTATTTAAACAGGCGCGAATCCATTTTCCCTTTTTCCGAGTCCATTCCAGTCCAAAAAAACCCGAAATTTGTCGACAAGCGAAAAAATTCTTTAACGTGAAAAACTTATTTCGTGGTTTGTGTTTTTAACTAGATCCCAGACCACACGGGCAAAATGCCCAGAATGGTATTGTGGTTACATCCGGGCTCTGACGTCACAGGAATGATGGCCAGATGCAAGAAAGTTGTCTCCACTGCTGAGGAAGTATCAGCTTTATGATTCAAAATAATATAAATGGAACTACAGTAATGAAATAATTTTCACACTTTATAGTAATGCATATATATTAGATGTAACCTTTCATCACAAGTGCACATAATACACCGAGAGAAAAATCCATTTTTTATATGATTCATTTATTTGTTTTCCCTTTCACTCCAGCTTCTTGGCGGGGAGGTCTACCATTACCACACCAAACTGATCATGAAGGATCCCTTCGTTGGTGGTGGTTTTGAATGGCACCAAGATTATGGGTAAATATTTCTGAAATGGAATAAAAGTAATCACAATAATTAAACAATAGAAAGGAATCAAAATTTAAAAAAAAAAAAGCATTATCATAAAGAACAGAAATTAAAAAAATAAATAAATAAATAAAATAAAATAACAATTATATATAAATGATAATAAAAAAAATGCAAAACAAGCAGATGTAAAATATTATGTCATAAAGTTTAATAAAGTTTAATCATGCTCACTAAAAGGATGAAAATATATGATTTCACTTTGACTTTAACATTAATCTTGATTTTGTTTTGTTTCATGTGTGTTTGTTTTACTCTAACCTGATATAGATACTGGTATTTCTCTAATCTGATATCGATACTGGTATTTCTCTCAATTGATATACTACTGGTATTTCTCTAAACTGATATCGATACTGGTATTTCTCTAACCTGATATAGATACTGGTATTTCAATGGACTGTTGTACCCAGATGCCGTCAGTGTGATGGTATCCTTAGATAAGTGCACTAAAGAAAATGGCTGTGTTCAGGTAGATCAAAATGTTTTCCTTCTTCTTCGTTATATCATCTTTATTTGTTTCCTTAAAATTTTTTATAAAATCTCTGAATAAACAATTTAAATAGGAAGAAAAATTAAGATTGAAACATTTATGAATGATTGATACAGTTTGTTTGTCCAATTGAATCTTTGTATATCTTTCTCGTGAGTTTTTTAAAAGCTGAAATACTTTCAAAAATTGTCTATCTTACATTTTTTCTTATTTTGAGGCCTGAGAATCGTTGTTATTGTGTTGTGCTTTGCAAAATATCTAGTTCTTTTAAATTATCCATGCATTGACACATTTTTTTTTAGAAAGCCAGATTCTCTCGGACTATATTCCCTGCCAAATATATGTAAAAAAAATTCATATTCATCAAATGCACAGTTGTATACGTATTTGTCAGGTTTTACCTGGATCTCATAAAGTGGGACGGATAGATCATATTCCTGTGGCCGGACAAACTGCTGCAGATCCTGACAGAGTAGAACATCTCAGGAAGAAATTCCCACTTGAATACATAGAACTAGAGCCTGGTAATAAAAAAAAGTGTACATGTATTATGACACAAATGAACATATACTCTTACAATTCTAAAATATAATTCCTCTTGTAACATACGCAAATATCCAATATATGTATGCAATAAAAAATAACATGGGAATGTTAAAAAATAATGATCTTTTTATCTCAGAAAACAAATTCTAATTTATCTAAAAAATTGAACAGCATTGGCATTAATTTCTGTTTCACAATTTAAATCATTTCAATTTGTACAACCAGCATAATAAAAGTTATCTGATTTTTTTTAATACATTGTATATTTTTATCCCCCAGGATACTTGTCTTTCAGTATACTATGTAACCAAGAGTAGCACAAAAAATGACTACATAATGACTTACGCGTCACCAAGGATAAAAAGGGCTTTTAAGAATGATCTTCACATTTCATCCTTAAAGAGACACAATAAGCGAAAATTGAGAAGAATATAATTTTTGCAAGGCTCATGCAAGTTTTTCAATTCTGAAAAATGTAAGGTTTTAGAAATTGCTGGTGTTAAATTCTAAAAGAATTTGCTTTTAAGGCCAAAAAATAACAAAATAATAATGAAAAAAAAACACGATACCTTCCTCCTGATTGTACGCGTGCGCAGAAAACATATCAGTTACCATGGTCGTAAGTCCCAAGAAAGAATGTCGGCCGACAAAGGATTTTACAGATAATCAGAACATATTCTTTACCTTTGCATGCTACAATTCAATGATGAATTTTACTATATAAACAAAAGTTACTAGTACATGACGTTGACGGGGACAATACACGTAACAACGATGCTTTTGATACACAATTTGTTTCTCTTGTACTTGTATGTTTCACTCTTTTGGTTGCTTTAAACTTACAGAGATAAATCTTTCGATTAATAATGCAAATATCATAAACGAAATGCATGTTTATGAATATGCATCACTGTGTCTCTTTAAATTTTCTATTGCTCTCAAAATTTCCAAATGCTGATATGATATTCAGATTAATAACAATTTAGGTGTATTCGTGTGAAATCATACATTACTTATTTCAGTAATTGCACGGCAAATCCATATAAACTGATCAAAATTGATTTATTGAAACGTTTTGTCCTCTGAATTGTGAACTTTGAAGAATTAAGAATCGGTTTTACTTGCAATCATTTTATTCATGGTTCATATCGTAGTATTATTTCGTGGTAGGAGACGCGTTCTTCATGCACAGTAACGTTCTACACAAGAGCGATCACAACAACAGTCCAAGCAGACGATGGCTATTTATCATGGCCTACAACAGATCCACCAACAATCCACTGGAGAACTTGACTGGTCCATTTCCAAGATACACTCCTTTATCTAAGGTTTTCAATCTGTATATTTCGTTTAAAAAACATTGAAATGAGTCATGTGATGTTGATTTCCATTTAATTGCTTTAAACCCAATTTTGAATTTGCAAAATCATTTTCACGGTCTATTAATTAAAACAAAAACCAATTATTACACTTAGCCGCACTAGAATCATATCTGGATGTACTAAGATGAGATAATTGTTTTTCAGGTTCCTAATTCTGCTATACTGGATTGCCAAAACCTATCGGATTTTTCTGGAAAAGACTTTCTTGACCCCACAAAGGACAAAAACGTGAAAGCAGATAAAAATAATAAACTGTTCTGAATGCACAATGCCACTATATCCCGGGCTTCAGGGCAAATTGCCAAGACCTCAAACATACGAACTTTTACACAGACAAATAAATTGTTTTGACAATAACTGCTCACCTGTCTTGATAGGTAAAAATTGTCAGTATGTTGTTATCGCAATGACAGAGACAAGAATTAAAATGTTACAAAAAAGTTGCCATATATATTTCATACTGCTGAAATCTTATATACTAGACAAAATTTAAAGAAAATGTAATATTTAATGTTTACTCAGGGGTTTAACTGACAGAAACAAAATGCTATGAAGGACAATATGTTAAAACAAAAATTGTTCTAAATGGATAAAATAACCATGCTATAACTCAATATCAATTTAGAAAATCAGTATTTTATTATTTGAAGAAAATATGGGAACAAAAGTAAAGAGAAAATTCGGAATTAATTTTGTATATATTTTTGTCACATTTTTTTCTTGCAATTTTATTCACGAAGTTAAGAATCTGTGTGTTTTTAATTATCATTTTGCAAATATTATTTGTGCTAAAGTTCATGTATTATTTCAAATAATTGAATGCCGTGCTATGAAAAATTTTAAAAATATGAAAGAAAACCATTCCAGATAAAAAAAAATCTCAAAAATTTGATCGTTGACAATTTTAATACCAGCAGAATAAGGGCAACAATCATAAACTGAGGCTAAAAATAATTTAGAGTACTTATTATTCAGCTTTTTGTTATATTAGATTAAAAATGCATAATTTTTTTTTAAATGACAGAGGAAATTCGGACTGGAATGATTAACAAGTTTATGGTTCAAACTCTTATTGTTTATTTATATGTAGCAAAACTTTTCCATTCCTATTATATTTAATTAACTATAAGAGCTCTGTTGCTAGTGATATTTTGTGAGTAAAGAAAATATATTGGCCATAGGGTGAAAAATTGAGGTATTTTCCGAGACATATTCAGGGGCCACTAGCATGAAAACTAGGTCATAGACCTAGTTATTTTAAAGTGAATACTAACTCTATAATCATAGGTTTAAAATGTACAATAGGTGGTTTTTCGATCTTTTCAGTGGATTTTTTTTTGGTCATCTGAGTAAACGTCATCCTTAAAATATAACCAGAAGAAAAATTTTAGTATGCTGTCATATTATAAGCTTAGTATGCAGAGTTGTACTCTATGTATTTTTGTGTTCTGTTGCTTTAATTTTAAATCTTACTGCAGTCAGGAATGCAACAAAATTGTTTTATAATTATCAATGAACTTCATCTCTCTTTACTACAAAATAAATTGCAGAAAATGCTTGATACTATTTGTAGTTAAAATCATTATGTATATCAACAAATAACAAACAATTTTAGACATATAACAGTCGCATCAAAACAAAGTTTTCATCACTAAACATATATGTGTTTTTTACAAATATATTTGTATATATTACATAAGCAAACAAGCATATTTTGAAGTCAAGAAAATATGAAAATATTTCCCAAAATGATAAAAAAAAAATATCTACAATGAGCTGCTTAGCAAAATTTGAATGAGATACTGTGTGTTAGAATTTTTAAAACAATGTTTATAAAACAAGAAGCCCAAGGACCTTAACGGTCACCTGAGTATAATACAAGATTGGAGATTGTAAAGGATCCACAGAAGTATAAAATAAAACAAAAATAAACTGATAGATGATCAAAGCTATGTTACCTAAAAATAGGAACTCAAATGATCAGGGATCAACAAAATAATAAGTTTATTACTTTGTCTCTTATTACTTGTCTGTACCTGCCCCAAATTGTCACTATAACCATTCTGACTAAACAAAACAAAAGTGTTTCAGCACTATCAGACTACTAATCCCAATTCCCTCTGTCATTGATCTTTCTTGTTCTCTCAATTTTGGAAGAGGAACGTTTGCTTATCATAAATATTCAATTTAGTTAAATTGTTTGTTTAATATCCAGGAGCAGGAAGACGATTTTCAAAGAATTTATATAGTTTCACTATATGATCTTTAGAGCCCAGCCCTAACTCCAGAACCCCTGATCCTGGGGCAACAAATTTCACAATTTTGGAAGAGGCATCCTTGCTTATCACAACCAGGCACCTAGTTTATTTTCTAAATACAGAGGGAGAGAGAAGACGATTGTAAAAGAATTTATGTATTCTCACTATATGATCATTAGAGCCCCGCCCCTGACCCTGGGACCGTAAAATTTCACAATGTTTAAAAGGCACCATTGGGCCATCATTAAAAATATCTTTGTTTCCCCTAACCCGACCCTAAAATCTCAAGTTGGGTAGGTAGGTAGGTAAATTATTTTTTTTTTCTGACAGCAGTTTTGAAAATAACTATCTTTATAAATAAGAAAGAACAAAAGAAACGGATTTTTAAACCGAATATCATACAAATGAAGCAACATGTATGGTAAATTAATTCACAAATATTATTTATCTGAACTTGTGAAATAACTCAGGCCAGCGTAAATTTACTGAAATCGAATATTTACAAAAAGACAAGAATCGCAAATACTCAACCATCGGACATTCGAGTATATTTTTCAAACCTACTATCATCTTCGAGTACTTACACAGACAAAATGTCAAGAGCCTCGCGTGGCGCAGTGATTCTAGTGTTTCGTTTTGGAGTCACGGCGTCATTCAGGAGCTTATTCTAATTCACAGGTCCCGACAAGGGACGTACAGACTGGTCAGTCGAATGAGACCGTAAAAAACGCAGGTCCAGTGTCGCAGAATACATGTAGATGTTGGCACGAAAAAGATCCCTTACTGAATGATCAATGGCTATAAGTGCCGAGTAAAAGTGTAAAATAAGGTGCCCTCCACTGGCACAACAATTTCTTAATTTAATATTTTAAAGCAAAGAAACAACCTATTTTCAAGGGCCTAACTAAAGAAAAATACACTATACGTCTAAGGAAGCCGTTCCATAAGCCAATTTTAAAGATTTCAATACTATTTGGAAAGAGTGCACACGTATAAAGAAAATTTAATTCAACTAAACCATATCTAAAATGATCAAAGTTTCATATATCTTATGTTATAGTCACGAAGTTAATACCCCATAGATAAAAGATAGGAAGAAAGGACATCTGAATTATATTTATCAAGATGAAATAATTATACAAAGACATATTTACAACTCCTATGGTCCTTTACAGTAAAAATAGGATCATACATGTACTGTTTTTTTTTTTAGATCGAAACAAATGAAATGCAGTGAAATTTGTTGATATGTATACACAAGGTGGACTCCTCATCTGCTCATGGGGAAGGCTTTGCCATGCCTACTACGTACGTTTATCTTAGAAGACACATTTGTAAATACCATCTAACACTCCTTAGTCATGGTACAATTAACTCACGAAATGTCTCAAGAGTGTAGGATTCTAATAAGTTAAAGATTATATAATAAGATTCATACGTCACCATTGTTTTATAACACGAACTAACCCTCTATGGCCACATGTTGTGGGCGCCAAATGAGAGTAAAACAAAAGCCGCCGTTCTGATAAAAAACGGACTTTGATGAAATTGTATTTCATAATTAAAAGTTTATAAACAATAAATAAAAAAATATTTATATAATCTTATTAAAAAACTTTTCAGTCGGCACGTTTTAAGTGGGTCGGTCGCGTTAGGGGAAACAAAGGTATTTTTTATTTTGGCCTTGCTCTTCTTAACCATGCACCTAGTTTATCATTTAAGTAAACAGGAAGATTTTTTAAAGATTTTATGCATTTTGACCATATGATCATTAGAGCCCCGCCCTTACCCCAGAACCCCTGACCCTGGGGCCACAGATTTCACATTTTTGAGAGAGGCATATTTGGTCATCATATTCATTCACTTAGTTAATTTTCTTAATATACAGGTGGAGAACAAGATTTTTAAAGAATTTATGCATTTTCATTATGTGAACATTAGAACCCCGCCCTAACTCTAGAACCCCTGTACCTGGGGCCATAAATTTCACAATTTTGAAAGAGGCATCCTTGCTTATCATAACCATGCACTTTGTTTACATAATGCCCAAAAGCAGCGAAGAAGATTTCCAAATAATTATGCATTTTCACTATATAATCAATAGAGCCCCGCCCTAACACCAGAACCCCTCACTTTTTTGGAAGAGACACCTTTGCTTATTATGACTATGCACTTTGTTTTATATGAAGGAGCAGAAAAGATTTTCAAAGAAATAATGCACTTTAACTATATAATCTATATAGCCCCGCCCTACCACCCGAATCCCTGACCCTGGGCTCACAAATTTCATAATTTTGGAAGAGGAACTTTTGATCATAATAACCATGCACTTTATTCAACTGCTAAATACCCAAGAGCTGAAAGAAAATTTTCAAAGAATTAATGCATTTTCACTATATAATCAATAGAGCCCCGTCCATGTACAACATGTACCACCAGAACCCCCCTAACCAGGGGCCATGAATTTCACAGTTTTGGAAAAAGCCCCTTGCTCATCATAACAACTAGTAAATACTTTGTTTGTTTGTTTAGTAGATAGGACAGAGAAGAAGATGTTTAAAGAAATTATGCACTTTTACTATATAATCCCCCTCCCGCAGGATCCCTTATCCTAGGGCCATAAATTTCATAATTTTGGAAGAGGCACACTTGATCATCATAACCATACACCTAGTTTATCTGCTTTTTATACAGGGGGAGAGAAAAAAAACAAAGCATGCATTTTCACAATATGATCATTAGAACCCCACCCTAACTCCAGAACCCCTGATCCTGGGGCCATGAATTGCACAGTTTTGGTAGAGGGTTTAATGCTTATTACAATCATGCCAAAAGTTGGACTGCTTGATGTCCAGGAGTAAAGAAGAAGACTTTTAAAGATCGCACTAATTTTGATGGTTTTGGCCCCACCCTTCATGTCCCAGGGAGGCAGCTAGCAGGGACCATGAAATTCATAATACTTGTTCCCCTTCACTCATAGATGCTATAAGCCAAAGATGGTTGAAATTGGTTCAGCAGATCCCGAGAGGGAGCTGAAAATGTTCAAATGTTAACGCACGACGAAAACAGATAGCAATAGAATGGCTCAGGTGACCTAAAAAGAAAGCTAGATAGAGTATAAATAGTCTACGATTCTTTATAAGTTGCTTCTCAAACCATTCTTCATTTAGAATCACATACACGTGGTGGGTACATATATTGTATAACATATGAAAACATTCTTTTGCAACTTGTTTGATTAAACAGTTTTACATTTAATATTAAATAATAATGTAAAAAAGGAATACCCTACACATTTGAGATATCCAACACCAGAGAAATGTGAAAGATTTTCTCAAAATAATATCATTACAGTATATTGTTCAGTGATTTTTAACAGAAAAAAGGGGGAACTA